AGATAGGACCGCAGTTGAGCCGTCATTAAGCCGGAAACCGGAGTTGGATCGGAAACCGGAACGGTTTTTAGAAAACCGGATGGTTTTTTAGCTTGACTGAAAAAATATTGAAAATTTTTTAAAAAATAGAAGAAAAATAAAAAAATTTGACCCCCTTAAATATACTAATATAATTATAAACTATTTATAACCATATAGTATTATTTGATTAAAAATTTCATATATTGTGGTGTTAAAACCGTGAGTCGTTAACCTTTTTGTTTCGATACCTGGTTTATCTTTTAAAACAATGTTTTGATTTGAATGAATTGATTATTTTTAATATCATTAAATATGTTAAACATACATAAATTTAAATATATAAGGTTTTATTCCATTTTCAATGATTTCATTATAATTTTAAATTATTTAAATGCATTTCTAAATTATTTAATAATTTGATATTTTTAATATATATTAATTATATGTATATAATATTGTTTTAAATTAATTATTCCTTTACTCGTCCGACCGAACAATCTGACCGGTCTGACCAATTGAACCATGACCCGTTGATCTTTTCGATTCGACTTCCGATTCGGCTTTTAAAACATTGATATTTAGTTACCATAAAATTTAAATAACAAGTGAGCAGTGTAAACTAGTTGTGATTTTCTATAATGGAACTTATTGTTGTATGCTCTTCAATTGTCAAATGGAATTTAAGGAGTTAAGGTAATTAAACCTCTTTATTGATACTTGATTATAATTTCCCTAAGAGCAATCCTAAATTCCTAATATAAGAGCAATCAAATATAAATTAGCATGTGCTCAACAGAGCTTTAAGCTCGTTCATGTGATGCCTTCCCTTGACTCATTTCGTAGATGAACACGAAAGCTCAAAAGTGAAGTTTCTTCGGGGAAGACTGTTCCAACTCCGCCTAGTTTCTTACTTCTTACACCGCAAAGCTGCCAGCTTTGATGCACCCATTTTCAATTTTCAGTTCTTGTATGTGAGTCCCGTAAAAAAATTAGTTATTTATCAAAAATACTATTGATTTCTTTAAAATATTTCTTTAAATCATTTGTATTGAAATTATTCCTTAATACAAAAACTATTAACATGTGTCATCAATAGTTCTTTGAATTATTTACAAGCGATATTTAAACTCTTATTTTTACAACTTTAGCTGCGGCTTATACAAATGAATTAATAGAAGACTATTATTGGGCCTGTTTGGGTGTTATCCCAAACTATGGTTTGAGGACCCAAACCATAGTTTGGGGAAGGAAATTGCCAAACAGGAAGAAATATGAAGAAACCATGGTTTGAATTAAAGTTATGGTTTTGAGCTTAAAATCATGGTTTCAGAAAAAATGAATCCATTCTATTTCTGGCTCAAATTGAAAAAGTATGATTGTACCTATCAGAGTAGATCTTAACGATAATATGACTTTAATACTCTTTAATTATTTTTTTAAAACATATTTAATTTTATATTTTATAAATATATATACATATTAATTATTTATTAATTATATTATCTTATATATTATTAATTATCTTGGTAAAAAATATATTATTAACAATTTTATTCCTTCAAATTAAAATATATTATAAAATCTATCTTTTATGTAATTATCATATTAATTTATGTCTTTTTTAGTAATTTGTATATATAAAAAGTGTTTCTGATAATAACTATCCAAGCACTATCACTTTATCAGAATCACTTTTTTACAAAATCTATTTTTTCAAAAATCTGTTCTCTAGAAACTATTCTCCAAACTATGATTTGGTTTCATCAAAACACTCCCATTGAATAGTTTTTGAATATTCTTCTATTACCTTTTGTTGGTCCTGAGGGACGGAAAAGAGTAGGTTAGTTGAAAGATAGTTATTGGTTCAAGAGCATAAGGTGCCTCTACTTTTTTAGGTAAGAAAGGATAGAAAAAATGTCTCAAGCCGATGTTTGAATGCTGGGGCCTATGGGCTGAAGTAACCCGCGTCATACTCTTAGGTTTGTGTGCTCAAATGACCTTCAACAAAAAGGCACCTAATAATAGTTGAGAAAAATAATAATAAATATATAGGACGAAATGGATTAAAATTTATATTCACGACCAAATTCAATGATTAACTAGCTTTTATATCAATGATTAGTTTTTAAAAAATTCGAACTCTCTAGTTAGGCACATAATTCACATTTATTCCCTATGACAAGCCAATATCTTTGAAGGTCCCACCGATGGAGGTTAATGGAAAATGGTAATTGAAATTACTTAATCGTGCTTCAATTATGTAAGAATTGTTTACTCATAATGGAGCTAAATTTTTCTTCGAAATCTTATCTTGACGGACAATTTAAAAACTATGTTTCGTATGCATGCAGAAAAAAAGAATAATAATAATAATTTAAAAATTGTGAATATAATACCGACTACTAGAGTTGTTCATACTATCCTATCCCAATTAGAACAGGATAAGATGGAAGCCCCGACAGGATATACATTTGTATGTATTTTTTGGTTTTTGTTATAGATTATTTTTGTTTATTTATTCTAACAATACCAAAAAAAAATATTAAATTTAAGAAAGTAAATGGAACACATCTTTGAATAAGTTTTTTTACTTTGATGGTTTAAAAAAGAAAAAAATATTTTTAAAAATGTAATTTAAAGAAGCTTCAATCAATATGATATGATAATGCATTTTTATTAACGTATATTTAGATTTAATTGGGATCAAGGATAATGGCCTCCACATTTAACATTTACTTTGAGAAATTTTAAAACATGAAAAAGAAGAACAAGTTTAAATAATCCACCTCTACCTGTCAAAACTGAAAAATGGCATGATTATTTTGCTTGTTAAATCAAATATTTACTACTATTACTTAAGCAAAAATATATTTGAAAGAGTATAGGACTTTGATTAATTATTTGTAGTACAAAAAATATTAAAATCAAAATGGTGACACAATTTTTTAATTAAAAATTAAAAAAATCTCGCATCTCTGTCGCATCCTGTCTCGCAAAGACTGCTAACTACGACTAAGGGAGTGTTTGGGTTTGCTTAAAAGTGCTTTCCAAAAGCATTTTTTTGCAAATCGAGACAAACTTCTTCATATATTTATTTTGTATATCGTAAAATCACTTTTAAAACTATAGTTAGGTTTCTATCCAAACACCCCCTAAATTGTCATTTTAAATTTTAGCAAAGTTGAGACGTATCACAGAGTTGGGGCATTAAGGGCCCCATGCCATGTGACCATTAACTGTTAAAAATACAATCATGTCTCTTTCAAGGAATTGTAATTTTTATATCTATTCTATTCTCTCACAAAAGGCCTAACATTTTCCAAATATGACTATAATTTCTTAATATAAAATCTATTTAATTAATTTTTTAAATTAAGAAAAGTAGATAAATTAGTTGTTTATCAAAAATATATGTTAACTTTTTAAAAATACCCTCTAAAATCAATTGGATTGGAACTATCTTTTTTATGCAAACTCGCTTAATGTGTATTATTAACATAGTTAGTTTGGATAAATAAGAGAACAAAATGAATTAAAATTTTATATTTAGGATCAAATTTAATCCTTCTATTAACTCTTATATTAGAGAATAAAAGTAGTAATTGAGAAGCTCAATTCAATAAGTGTTAGTCATATAATGATCCAAGAGAACACATAATTCGTTTATTACAAAAATTGAACAAGAGTCTAATGATTAACAAATTATCACACCATAATTCATCTAACTTTCTTAATTTTTTTAAATTAGCTAATTAAATTTTATATTAATAATTGAACAAGAGCATTATTTATGACCGGAGAAAGTGATTTGCAACTTTCTCAAACCTTGTGGATCTTGATGGGAAACAGTTCAATATAAGCGAACTTAGATCACTCATCTTGGGTGCTAGTGACGTGCACGTACTAGATTCAAACATCTAGGATTGACAAACAATTCCAAGCCACAACCTTAGAAAATCCAAACCCTCCTAAAAAAATCGGATCCCAAATACTACGGCCTAAAATAAAGACACGTTGGATGCTTGCGATAATTTCGAGAACATTAGTTTGACATCACCGACTTTCTTCTAAAAGCTAGGCTTCTTATCCACATAAGTTGCAAAAGTTGTTTTGCCCCTATGGCCATATCCCATTTGATCACACTCATTTCCAATCCCATTTTTAACGGGTTTAACTTTGAAATTTCTCCCCACTAAATCATCAGCTGTTGGAACAATAAGAATGTGAATAATGCATTAACACTGGCCGACAATAAAATTATTATTATTATTATTTGCCTTTCTTTCTGCATATTCAAACTTGCTTTTTGCTGTTTAGTGCAGCAGCCGGAAATGAGAAAATTATTTATTTCAATTAACACAGGAAATGAGAAATATAAGATATAAACAAATGGAATATACATTTCATTTTGAATATCCTTCACCATGTCTTTTAAAAAAAGTAATAATCATTTAGTTTTGTATAAATGACTATTAAAAGGGGCCATATATATAGTTTACTAGTGAGATCTGATTTGACCCTAGTGAGATTCCATATAAAGAGGCAAAAATCTCTCAGCGGGAGTTGCTCCATTCCCACAGCTCAAAACTGAGACCTTTGGTTAAGAGATCAGGGTGTTGGTTAGCATCTTATTGTTTTACCATATAGTGTTTATGTTTTATTGATTTAAATCTTATTGGTTTACTAGTTTTGCAAACACCAAATCAAAATAATATATAGCATCCAAACTGCAAATTCGGTTTTTCCGTGACTTATGAGCTTACTTGTTTTCCTTAGCATCTTCTTTTTAATCCAATAGAATATTTCTTTTTTATTTTCCTTCTGCAAGAAAATATTATTCTCATGCTTTATTCTTGTTGGATTGTTCAATTTCTTTTTTTATTTACACTATCAACCTAATGATACTGTGCAAGCAGGCCACACCCCCATACACATCAATTCCAAACCTCATTTGCTGCACAAAAAGACATTCACAAGAAACAGAGGAAAAACAGAGCTTTCAAATATCTTTAATATAATGGGACTAACTTAAGATATGAAATTATTTTGAAATTACAGGCGTGGGCCAAAAAAAACTTTTTCAAAATATAATTCATAAGTGAAAAAAATAAAACACAACATTTTGCCAGTAGTACATATTTCTTTCATCATGGAAATATATGAAACACACTAATTTATTTTGAAGATATTAATAAACTCCTTCACATTTTGGCCATTTTCCACTTCAAGTATCTTTCCACAACGTCCAATCCGCAAAGTTCTTTCACCACAGGCATGGTTGCTGGTACATCCAATTGGAATGGTTTGTCAAGTTCACTTGAGTTGCTCCATGAACCAAGTTGTTTTCTGGCTTCTTTGATTGCTGCTCTTGTTGCACAGTGAACCACGGCTGCTAGAAGTAGCGGCGGCTCGCCGGAAGCTACAAAAACAAATTTTCAATCATCTATTCATATCAGAATTATTTTTCAAATATGCCGGGTTAAAAGAAAAGATATAATTGAGATAACTAAAAAGACTAAAGCAAACCCTCCTTGCTTAATCCACATGCATACAAAGTGGGCTTACTTTATGTATTTCTTTTGTACAAAAAAGGTTTAGATGAATCAAATACTAGGCGCTCATTAGGGCTAATACATGCCTCCAAGTTCAAAGAGTACAGTTACTTATAGGTTGCTCACCAACAATGTCCTCATATTGGCATTGGGATTTGAAGTCACAACTTTATGTGTTATGAGTTGATTCCTTACCAACTGGACCAATTACTATTGGTTACTTTATATATTTATTTTAATAACAATTAATTCATTTAGCAAATAGATGACAAGCTACTTGAACCCAAATCCTCTCAAGTTGTGAATATGTGAAACTCAAAACAATTTTACAACTTTATTTTGGTTGGTAGAAACAATTTTTTGATTCACTCAAATATTAGTATCCTAAGAACATAATAAACAGGAAGGAATATGCCAAAAGATGAACCAGCTCATAGTATAAACAGGAATAAAAGGAAATTCACTGTTAGAAAAAACAAAGATGCGCATGTTCATATAGGAAGAGGATACTCTCAGCGTCCTCTTCCCTCTGCGTCCCTCAGCGGCGCAATCACAGCCATTAAAATTCATCTAACACAGATCATATTGTGCCACGTCGTGATGTTATTAAAAATTAGAAATAAATCTGAACTGTAGTGTAAATTTTTTTACTAGATTTCAACTGGGATTATTTTTAGCATGGAATATTTAGTTTTTTTTCACCTGGCTCATTTTAGCCAGAGAATCTATGAGACGTTCAGAGTCCAGACTTATCCAGATAACCATAGAGAATGAAAAAACTTAACCATCAAATATTTATATATAATTTTTTTGGACTTATCCATCTTAGACTGGAAAATTTATCTAAGTTCAATCTAATACAATCTAATACAGATCAAGTCAGGCAAAACCATAAAGATTGGCGAAACTATATCAAGTATTTTTACTTGATGGCAGAACTTTGCCTCTCTTTGTGGTCTTATCTGACTCAATTTATATTAATTTGGACTCTTAATAAACTCTACAGATCCAAGAAATTAGGTGTTACACTCAGATTTTTTTTAAAAAAAAGAATAGTTCTTTTTTTTAAAAAAAAAGGCAATTTTATAGCATTAATTAGATTTATTTTTAATTTTTAATAGCATGATGATATGGCATATTGTGAGCTCTTAGATCAATCTGATGGTAGATATTGGGACGCTGAGAGATGCTGCAGCTGAGAGAATCCAGACCCGTTCATATATGGTTAGAAGCAAATAATTTGGAAAATTTTCAATTTAGGAATTCTAACAACTAATAAGTCGTACCTTTAGAAGAGAGAACGCGATGCTTGTGATGTCCACCATTAACAATTTCAACATTGAACTGTTTAGGTATTGTGTCCAAAGTGGGAATTTTGTAATTCCATGTTCCATCTGCTAACGCTAACCCTTCATGATTTGTTTCGTACTCTTCAAGCATGAAAAACCCTAACCCTTGCACAAATGCTCCTTCAATCTGCAACAACCAAAAATGATCATGTCAACTTAGGCGCCTTCAAAATCTGATAATTTGTTTATTCTACATGAGAATGTGAATTACATTATTCAAGACTTAAAAAGTTGATTTATATATAGTTTACATTTTATATTTATTTTTTGACCCTTTAACCCGCTCTTATTTTGAAATAGAGAGACTAGAAAATAGAAATGTTAGATAGCCCACCTGTCCTAAATCTACAGCAGGGTTGAGACTCCTTCCACAATCATAAATAATATCTGTTTGCATAATAGTGGTTTCTCCTGTGAGAAGATCAATTTCCACCTGTCAAATAACATCATTTAACCATTAGTTTCCCATTATTGATAATTGGATGCAGCGATAACAGGCTCCCACAAAAATTTCAAATACATTTGAGCAATGTAACCATTCATAAATTTGACTATTTCTAAATAAGAAAGTGGAAACAAAAATAAGCCTACCTCACTCACTGCAACACCATAATTGAGGTACATGTTGGTGGTAACGTCAGGGTAATAAAATGAAGTTGCTGATAAGTTCACACCTTGTAAATGTGCCTGCACAAGGAGACATATTGCTGATAAGTTACGCAAAAGTCTCGTGAATTTGATAAATATGGACTAAAGGATTACTTCTGCGGGATCAGGGTGTTAACAAAGGGCACACTTCCAAGCTAACGAATATGAAAAATTCATTACTTGCAATAAGTAATATTCATAAAGTTATTTTTTTATTTATTTTTAATTGTTCTTAAACTCCTCTAGATGAAATTCCTTTGTATAGTGGAGCACAATTGAACTAGTCCCTATATGGTTCACTTCATAGCTTTGTGTTCAATATATATATATATATATATATATATGAAAAGATGTTTGTATGATTTTGAAAAATATAAGAAAAATTAGTCTTGGCTTTGAGAATGGTAGATATATAATTTTAGTGAAATCTAAGAGAGGTCTCTATAATTTTTTGGGATATATCAGGAGGGTTTCAAGGAGCTAACATTGGGAGGCAATCGTCTTTATAATTTAATTAAAAAATTTATTTGTTTGCCATTAAAGAACTTAGCAAGATAATGAATATAAGGGGAGTCATCACATGCATGAGAGAAAAATAGATACCTGAGAAATAAGTGTCTTCCAATTGACAGAACCCATATCGTTCTGCAACTTTTCTTTGAGTGGCTTTAACCTTTCGACCAAGACATTGCAACTAAGCCTAATTGCTTCACAACTTGACTCTGATGTTGTACTACCACCAGTGATCCCTCCTTGGATCAAGGTCAATGTATCAGATTGCATGACACGTATTTTGTCCAATAGGTCTTGAGATCCATCACAATGGATCAAACCCAGAGAATATGCAGCCATTTGCTTTACCTTGGTCCAAAGACCTTGACCTATTTCAATCCCTCCAACTTCAACAGCCACAGACCCATCCTTTAAAATGCTTGTTCTTCCTGGTGCTTGTCTTACTCCTACCTGATACACAGCAGGTATACGAGATATACCTCTTTTCTTCCAAATGTTGTTCTTGTTAAACTCTTTCACAGTTTCACTTCTTTGATTAAATCTTGTAGAAACAGCTAGTTTATTCCATATTGATGCCAAGGTATAGTCAATGGGTTCACCTGCAGAATTCCTGTAGAAAGTAGAAAGACTTTTGTATGTGTGAAAATTAATGCTTCTCATAGAATCTACATCTATTGAAAGTGTAGATGCCACATGTTCTATTATAGCTTCAGCAATATATGAACCTTGAAGATCCCCAGGGGCTCTCATTGCAGATCTGCTAGGAAGATTGGTTCTGCATAATTTCAAATCAAAAGATAGAACACCCCAATCATATTTCTTAAGTGCACTAATTACAGCATCTGGCATTATTATAGATACATCCTGATATATCCCTGCATCTATCAATATCTTAAGGTCCAAAGCAGTAATCTTCCCATTGCTTTTAAATCCCACATTGTAAGTTATCTTTATAGGATGCCTTCCTCCTGCCATTATCATATCTGTCTTACGATTCATATATATCCTGACAGGGCGGTGTAATTTGTGCGCTGCAAGGGCACATGTTGTAGCAATCTGAAAAATGTGATTGTTAGTAGTTACGATAAACATTCATAAACACTACATATATGATGTTCCTCTTAAAAGGTATATTTCTATTGTAATTTGATATGTTATAACATTATTTTGGTTTACAAAAATATCAGATATCTTGCATCTAAATCTATGTGATGCACAATTACTAGCAGATTTCAAATATTCTATGCCTGTTTCTTTTAAAGTAAAGTAGGAAACACCTATGCTATTCCTAACAATTTTACATTCATCACCTGCTTTTTTTAGAGTAAATTATTCCACTTCAAATCTATGGTTGACATGAGGCTTTGTCAAAAGTACTACCCCTAGTCTTTAATACTACCTCCGGTCCTTAATATAAGATCTCGTTTGACTTTTATTTTGGTCCTAATTATAAGATCTCAATCCATCTTGTCTCTCATATTTATGCATTTTTTCCCAAGGTAGTCCCTCTAATAATAATAGATCTAGCCAATAAACTTCATTAGCAAGGATATTTTAGGAAAGACAATACTTATTTATTATAAATAACTAACTTAACTTATTTCCTTAATCTCTTTAAATTAATCAACTAGCTCTTATAATTAGGACAGAAGGTAGTATAAGAGTTAGATAACTAATTGGGAGATATTAAAGAAATTACTTTAAGTTAGTTATTTCTAACAAATGTATGTTGGTTTCCATAAAATACACACTTTAATCATATGCATTGAAATTAACCCTTGACGAAAATCTCCTTACTATGTACAATTAATAGGGATATTTCAAAGGAAAAAATTATAAATTTGACAGATAAAGTGAATTGAGATATTATATGTAGGATCAAAACAAGCCCCTTATCTAGCTCCTATATTTGGGAATGAAGGGAGTATTAAGTTTTTCCACCCAGCGTCCCTAACTAACTAAACAACTAACTCTTAATTTATGTCAAGTTGTTAATAGATGTTTATAAACAGGACTGGAGGGAGGATGATACAAAACCGGATACTCACAGGATGGGCTTTTGTAAACTTTCCACCAAAACCACCACCAACCCTTCTTGTGATTGCACGAACATTATGCTCAGGAATATTTAAGCATCTGGCAACAGTAGAATGTATACACTCGGGCCCTTGACTTGAAGCATAAACTGTCAAGCAATTGTCTTCATCTGGTATAGCAAGTGCAGCTGGTGTCTCCATATAGAAGTAGTATTGAGACCCAAGTTTGATCTACATGATAAAGAATACGTTTGAGATACATAACAAATTAAAGATTAATTATTCAAAATCCAACTAAAAAGGGTGATAGTGATAGAAGATATTAAAGAAAATGTTCAGATTTGCTTAAACCATACATTAGTTTGTTTCTAATCTATGCCTATGTTTTAGTGGAGTTTGTTGTGTGTCTAAGATATGAATGAATGTATGATCCTGTCACACAATGAAATCATCTCATTCTTCTTTTGTGCTATATTTGTGTTAGCTAGTAGAAAAAATGATTAAATGAAGGAAGAATTTTCTTATTCCATGTACCTCACTAGAAAGAATCTTATGGTCTGCTTCAGCCATTCCTTCTGTTATATCACCAACTTGTTGCTGATAGAGCGTAGGAGGAAGTTCAAAAAGACTAGATCTTTCAACAGCCTCTTCAACAGATAGAATAGGTTTTTCAAGATTCTCACAATCATACTCAACAACGGCAGAGTTTGCAGCCATATCTGCAAGTTTTTGAGTATCTGCAACCTATACACATTCATGTAGTAATAATCATTATCCCAACACATCCAGCCATATCTGCAAATCTATGAGTATCTACAAGTTTCTTACCACAAAGGCAATACGATCACCAATGCATCTAGCAACCTCATCTGCAAATAAAGGATCAATACCAAATGCAGAAATAGACCCTACATTTTCTCCACCACTAGGGATGTCTTTACTTGAAATAATTGCCCTAACTCCATCTAGTTTTTTGAGCTCTATACTCTTTACCCTTGCTAAAGGTTTTGTACTGTAAATATATGCTCCATGCAGGCAATTTGTTGGTGAAGGAATGTCGTCCACATACACAGCCTCACCTACAATTTATTTGCAAAACATTTAATTCTCAATAAAAAGATATTCCAAATCATAGCACATACAGTTAATAGGAAACAAAATGAGAGAATAAGCTTAGTTTATACACTAGATAGTAGTCAACAAGATAAGAAAGCAAGAATGCGTATACAGAGTTGCCTCAAAATAGGAGCCCGAGAAAAAGAATTTAATCATATTAATTAATCACTAGTATAGAAAATGCTTTTTACAATAGCATTTTTTGTAAATAAGTTGGGCGAAACATGAATTCACAAATGGTTCAAACCATGACAATAAGATTGATGCTTAAATAAGTAGTTTTCCAAGTAAATGAGTTTGATAATCCATGATAGAATCATAAGATTACATTGAAGAAGAATCTTAGGGATGAAAATATATTTTGATCGTAATAGCATGTTAGACTATTTGTTAAAACATTGGTTTACCACTTTCAAATGCCATATATATGAAAGAAACGAGGTTATAAAGTAATTATCTAACTTTAATGTACAAAAACAAACCTGAAGCTTGTAATGCGGCTCCTGCTTTTGTAACTGGCTCACCAATGGGACGATACTCATCACCTACTTGAATCTCTTGTTTGCCTGATGATAGTAAAGCAGGAACTTTATCATAATGAACTTTCCCATTATTCTCTTTTAAGTCAAATATCTTCTTGACTGATGAACCAGTATACCTATTTGAGTCATTAGTAAGTTTTTCAATAGAATAGTCATAAATCAAAGGACTTAAGAACTTGTAGAGAAAACCAATTGCCAAGCTTGAGCAATAAGCAATCTTTGAAGTTCCATCTTCAGGTACTACAATAGCTGTAAGCAAGTTGACGGCTTCATATACAATTCCAAGATTTAACAACTTTCCTATCAGTAGTTCCTCAACTTTGGTAGCTCTAACTGCATGTTTAACGCCATAAGCACCAAAACAAAGCCTGCAGTTATCTATCCTCACAGTTCCTTCAAAATCTTTACTGGAAGAAACCTCAAAAAAGAAAGCTGCATTTAAATAAGGCAATGCATTTCCCAGTGGTCGAGGAGCAGCTCGAAAAGTCTCAAAGAAAATTTTACTTCCATGTTTTGGTGAAGCACTGTTGCTGGATTTCCAGTATGGGATTTTAATGCTTAAAAGCACACTTTGCAGTCCTAATGGTGGCCTTTCTAGAAACTCTTGCAATGTAAGCCATTCAAATTTTGTGCCAGTCATTATATGAACCTTAGCATCCACAGCAAGAAGTACTGTAGCTATATCAGACGGGAAATGATACTTCTGAGCCATCACTAGATTGCCACCTACACTAGCTGTGTTCCTTATAAACCCAGAGGCTATTTTGCTCAGATGATCAGCAATTTTTTCAAGTATAGTATCAAAATCAGAGAGAAATTCACATTGGCTTTTTGGCTTTAAAGCTTCAATTGCCTTAAATATAGTCACTGCTGCTCCAATTTCAATCCCTGTCTCATCCCTTTTGATCTTTGAGAGCTCAGAAATTCCCTTCAGATTAATATACTTGTCATAACTTTCTGTATCTTTGTAATAACCCATTCCTGTATTACTAACAACAAGCTTTATCCTAGTTCTAGCACTATTGTTTGGTTCCAATAAGCCTTGAAGCTCTTTCAGACTAGTAGGACTGAGCCAACTATGTTTTTTAGAAGCCATGAACACATCAGGCTTGATCTCCTTCAAAAACTCAGGAAATTTACTCTTCTTGTGGTGATGATTATAGTTAGGCAACCTACTTATCTTGACATCATCACTTTCTCCTTTTCTCCAGAAAGAGTTTAAGCCCAAATCCTCCATATCAACATCAGCACCAAAACTTTTGCAAGCATCAGAAAGCGGTCGATACCCAGTACAGCGACAAAGATTCCCAGAAATGGCCCTTTCAGCCTCAGCAGCAGTGGCTTTCGAGAAACCTGAAGGAGGCTCCGGACAATTGGTCTTTTCAGCATTGACAAGAGTCCCAAAAAGAGACACACACATTCCAGGAGTGCAAAATCCACATTGAGTAGCATGGAATCCTGCAATTCTTTCATGAATTGGATGGAAGCCATCTTTACTGTTTCCAAGGCCTTCACTTGTGGTTATAGAGCATCCATGTATGCTGCAAAGTAGTGTGAGACATGAACTTGCTGTGAAATCCTCAACTTGATCGAGCACATGATTGTATTTGGATATTAAAACAAGACAAGCACCACAACCACCTGCAAACCATCCAGATTGAACCACAAAATGAGAAATTGATGAAATTTTGAGGAGAAAAAATAACACCTTTTACCCTCCTGTTCATAATCAGACTTTTTATATATTGTTTTGGACAACCTCTATGAAAATATGAAGAAGAAAATCAATCATGAAGTTAACAAATAATTTTAAACAGAGAAGCGTAGAGCGTTCTATTCCCTGCTCCTCACGGCCCAAATCATGATGATAGTTCTAAAGTTTCTTTTACCTCTATTTCGTAGAATGTCAAATAAAGAGATTCAAATATTACACACACGCCCCAAAAAAAAAACACTAATTTCAACCATAACATTAAAGGCATAACCAATAAAGGTAATGCAGTCTCTCTCCTTGTGGGAGCTTTTCTCTCTCCACTGTGAGAGTTAGTTACGACGGTTTTCGTCGAGTTCGTGATTCACCTTTCTAGCTCCGTCGTTCACTGCTGCGGTGTGGAAGGAGAGACTAAGAGTGCTTCGTTGCCCACTGTGATGGAGTTTGATAGAGTGGCCTCTGGATCGCACATTGCGAGAAGGAGGCGGTGAGGTTTTCTTTGATGGAGGTCGGGGATTGGAGTGAGGGCAGAGGTGTGGAGAGATTGAAAAGTGATATTGATGTTGATCTTGTTTGGAAAAAGGAGGAGGAAAGCAGATTGGGAGGCAGGGCCCTGATTGGCAGGATTATGACAGAAAAGAACCTGAACACTGCTACGATGGTTCAAATGATAAGAAAAGGTTGGAATCTACCTAAGAAAGAAGACTTGGAGATTGTAGAGATGGATAGAAGGATGTTTGTTTTCCAGATCAAAAGCAGTGATGAATATAGACGAATTCTACGAGGTCGACCGTGGTCAATTAATGGATGGCTTCTGAATCTTCAGCCGTGGGAGGAGGACATGGTCTACAGTGAGGTATGTTTCGATTGGTGTCCTTTCTGGATACAATTTCAAGACCTTCCTCTGGCGGTAATGGATGTAGATAATGCGATTAGACTTGGTTCTAAAATTGGTGAGGTTTTGATAGTAGAAGATCCTAGAAGGAATGGATTGTTACGTCGAAGTTTCTTGAGGGCTCGTGTGCTGGTTGATCTGAGAAAGCCTTTGGTGTCTGGCCTTTGGACTTCGCGACCTGATAAGGATCTGATTAGGATAAAGGTCAAATACGAGAGATTACAAAATCTGTGCTATGGTTTGTGGAAGAGTAGGTCATGACTTGAGGAATTGTTCTTACAATTGTAACAAGGAAGGTTAGACAATGGCAGAATATGGCAATTGGTTGGGGGTACAGGCAGCGAGAAGAATGGATGATATTCTTGTGGTTTGTAAGGAGGATTGGGTGGAGATTGAAGGTCTGTCTCTAAAGAAAAAAGCAAGGCAAGTAAGAAACTGGAATGGACAGAGGTGCCTAGCCAGAAGATGAACCCGACTGACAATGAGGCCTCAACAGAACCAGAAGTGATTGGTGGGGAGAAAGGTGTGGGGGAGAAGAAGATTGGGAATAGTAGTCCTGGTTGCAAAACTATGAAGCAGGCCAGTCCTAAGTCAGAAAAGGAATAAAAAAAGGTTGACAAGGGTGGGGAGGCGGTTGGCAGTCCATCGAATGCAAGAGAGAACATTGCTAAAGCCATGGTCCTATATGGCAGTGTATCTTCTATGTCTGAAATGATGGTTGGGCTAAGGAGGGTTGGTTTGAAGAGGTCCCTATGTGGAGAGGAGGAAGAGGAAAGGTGTGTCAAGAAAAGAAAGTTGTGTTTTGATGAACAAAAACAAGAGGAAGTTGCTCCAAAGCCTGTGCAAAGATCAAGTGGCAAAAGAGGGGGTAGGATCCCTAAGAAGTTGATGAGGAGAGGTGAAACTGGTTTGAAGATAAGAGAAGAAGGAAGAGCAAACTTAGAAAGCAAAATTCTAAGTAATGAAGGGAAGGAAGCTCAAGAGGCTAGGAGTGGAAGTTTGAGGATAGCTGAGGGCGAAGGTGACTGGCCTTTAACAGTCACCAAGGCCCAATGAGTGTTCTCTCTTGGAACTGTCAAGGTTTGGGGGTTCCTTTGACAGTGCAAAATTTGAAAAATATTACCAGAAGTAAAAAACCCTCAATTATCTTTATTATGGAAACAAAACAAAAAGAAGGAAGTTGGATAGGCTGCGAAGGCAGTGTAGGATGGATAATATGTTTGTGGTTAATCCAGTTGGGAGAAGTGGAGGGTTGTGTTTGTGGTGGTGTAAGGAGATAAAATTAGAAATTTTGTATAGTACCAAAAATATCATTCATACTCATGTGATTTCAAGAAGCATTGAAGTGCTTGATTTTATCACGTTTGTCTATGGGCCGGATGTTGATACGGAAAGAGAGAGGGTTTGGAGGAAGATTAAGGAATTTGTGAATGAGATAGATGGGTCTTGGATGTGTGTTGGAGACTTTAACAACCTTGCCTCGCGTGAAGAGAAGAGAGGGGTAACCCAAGATCGATAAAGAGGATTATGGGTTTCCAAGCTTTCATTGCAGATTACGGCTTCATAGATCTTGGCTTCCAAGGGTTGAGATATACTTGGTGTAATAAAAGAATATTAGAAGATAACATCAAAGAAAGGATTGATAGAGCTTTCGGAAACGTTGATTTTAGAGCAATTCTTGAAAGCTCAAGTTTTCCATTTAGAGCCTTTGGGTTCTGACCATACTCCTGTACTGGTGGATTTGAGGTATGATGGTATTAAAGCAGTCAAATGTTTCAAATTTGAAATTATGTGGACAGAACACCTTGGTTATAATAGTATAGGTGAAAAGGGTGGTGTATGGGCCTAACTGCAAGGAGCAGTGTAATTGGAGAAATTATTGGAAGACTTGACAATTGTAGAAAGGTGCTAATGAATTGGAGTAAGCGGGTTTTTCCTAATAATAAGAAGTTGGTGGATAATTTGATGAGCCAGCTATTTGATTGCTATGATTTGATTTTTACTAATGAGGTTTTTAAGAGGATAGGAGAAATTGAGGATGAGCTGGAGAAGGTGTGACATAATGAAGAAATGTATTGGTGGTAGAGGTCGCGGGTCTCCTGGTTGCGACATGGTGATATGAATTGACGGTTCTTTCATGTATCCACGATTATGAGGAGACAGAGGAACTGTGTTTTGAAAATAAAAAATAAAGATGGTCTTTGGATGGAAGAAGAAGGTTCTATTTCTAATTGCTTTGTCAATTATTACAAAGATTTGTTTAAATCTTCAGGTAAAAGATGCTTTGATAAAGTACTACCATTTGTGGACTGTTGCATAACGGATAGTATAAATGAGTGTCTTTTGGCTCCTGTTAGTAGATTAGAAGTTCATGATGCGGTATTTGAACTTGGTGGTTACAAAACCCCTGGGCCTGATGGCTTTTATGGAAAATTCTACCAATCTTCATCGCAGGTGGTAAAGGAAGATTTGTGGAGATTGGTCTGTCATTTTTTTGAAGGAAGAGGAGATATTAGTGAGTTAAACTGGACCAATGTCACGTTAATACCAAAAATTGACAAGCCTGAGGAGGTCAGTCAGTTTAGACCTATTGGGCTATGTAACTTTGTGTATAAGGTGATCTCGAAAGTACTTGCTAATAGGTTGAAATGTTGGTTGAATATTTGTATTTCAAGTAGTCAAGGTGCTTTTGTCCCGGGACGCTTAATCCATGACAACATCATTGTTGCTCATGAAGTGTTCCATTATTTGAGAAGAAGAAAGAAGGGGTCAAGGAGTGAGTTTGCCTTGAAAATGGATATGAGTAAAGCTTATGATAGGGTGGAATGAGATTTTGTCGAGGCTATCCTATTGAAGTTTGGTTTCCACAAAAAATGGGTAAAGCTAATTATCAATTGTATCTCCACTGTGAAGCTAAACCTGTGTCTGTCAGGAAGAAATGTTGCTGAAGTTATCCCAGAGAGAGGTCTGAGGTAGGGAGATCCGTTATCTCCTTACCTTTTCATTCTGGTGGTGGAAGTGCTCTCAAGAATGATTAGTAGAAATGTGGATGATGGTGTGTTAAAGGGGATCAAGATTACCAGTCAATGTCCGACTCTCTCACATAGCTTCTTTGCAGATGATGTTCTAATTTTTATGAATGCTGATGACAGTAATTGCAGAAATTTGGCAAAAACTTTATAGGATTATTGTGAAGCTTTCAGGACAAATGGTGAACCTTACCAAATCTGGAATCTTCTTTTCCAAAAACACGAACTCTGTGACCAAGAATAGAGTTTGTAATATCCTGGGCATTGATGATATGGATGAGCCTGGGAAATATCTTGGGATTCCAAATGTTTGGGGAAAGTCAAAAAGTCAAGTCTTGGCGTTTGTAAAAGAGAGGATTGGCAGAAAAGTAGCAGGTTGGAGTGGAAAATTGTTGTCTCCAGCTAGTAGAGAAATAATGATAAAAGCTATTATTGGGGCAGTCCCATTATTTCCAATGAATTGCTTTAAATTCCCAAAGAAAGTCTGTAAGGAGCTTGATGCGTTAGTGGCAAAAGTCTGGTGGAATGGCTTAGAGGAAGGGAGGAAAATTCATTGGAAAGCTTGGGATGAGATGACTTTGGCGAAGAAGGAAGGAGGACTGGGATTTTGACAACTTGAAGTGGTTAATGAAGCCCTTTTAGCAAAAACAGCATGGAGAATCTTGAATTGTCCTAATGAGTTATGGGTACAGGTCTTGAAAGGAATTTATTTTCCTGAAACAAACTTTGTTGAAGCTCAGAAGGGTGGTAGAGCTTCATGGATCTGGTATAGCATTTTGGAAGGGAGAGATAAATTGTTACAAGACTTGTTTTGGAGAATTGGAAATGGTTGAAATGTCAGGCTCTGGAAAGATAAGTGGTTGAAAGGTGAAGATAAAGTACTGGCAGATCTAGCTCAAGTTCCTAAAGATAAGACAGATTGGTGTGTAGCTGATATTATCCAAAATGAACGGTGGGCTGTAGAGAGACTAGATGGCTTAGTTCCAGATGAGGTGATTCATAAGATTGACAGCATGTGCATTCCTTCAGTGGAAAGAACGGATGAAGTGATGTGGAGTGTAGCAAGAAATGGTAGGTACGCTACAAAGAAAGGATACCACAGGTTTAAAGAACTAAGGAGGTGCAGAAATGGAAGAGCTGGTACTTCAGATACGGTTTCTAAGCAGATATGGAACCAAATCTGGAAGGTAAAAGTTACTCCTAAGATTTCTCATTTTCTCTGGCGCTGCTTTGTTAAGGCTATCCCAGTTAGAGAACGGTTATTTAGAAGGAAATGTTGTAGTTTTGTGCTTTGTCAAGTTTGTGACCAGGAGACCGAATCAATTGAGCATGCCATCTTTCTTTGCCCGTGGGCTAGAAGTGTCTGGTTTGGATGTAGGCTCAACCTTCGTTTTGATTCTGGAAATTTGAGAAGTCTAGCTGAGTGGTGGAAGAATGTCCTGGTTGATAACCAAGTGCTTGATGAGAAGCAAATTTCCTATTTTGTGTGGGTTATGTGGTTGATTTGGAAAGAAAAGAATAGAGTAGTCTATGAAGGAAAGGTGCCTGACCCATGTGTGATAATTGAGATAGCTGGAAAGATGGTGGATGAGTTCTGGAGGGTAAGGGAATTGGAGGTAGAGAAGGAAGGGGAAGGTGTTAAAGAAAGACAAAACGTGGGGTGGATGGCACCTGAAGTAGGCTGTGTTAAAGTTAACTATGATGGTTCTTTTAAGGACGGTATCGCTGCTATTGGGATGATTTGTAGAGACAGTGAAGGAAACTTTTTGTGGGGTTTTGGGGAAAAGGTGCAAGCTGATGCTGTGGTTATTGCAGAGATTTTGGCACTGAGGAAAGCCTTAATACTGATCTCTGATATGAGCTATGATAAAGTGGTAATTGAAACTGATTGTGCAGAGGTTTTTTGGTGTTGCTCAAAGGCTTCAGCTGATGGAATTGATTGGAGAGGACGCTGGGAAATTCAGGAGGTTATTGAAGTCTTGAAGAATCTGAGGTATGTTTCTGTTACTCTGATTTTTAGGAAGAGTAATTTGGCAGCAGACTTGATTGCTGTGAGTTGTGGTAGGGGTGTGAGCCCAATTGGGTAGGTGAATTCACCATCACCTCCTCTGGCTAGCATTTTAGCCAACGATTTGTTACTTTGGAGGAAGTTCAAGGCTGCAGAATGTTCTGATAACCAGCGTAAGGATTTGGTTCGGTTGGCGTCTTATGGGGACTCTAGGTTCAATAGGTGTGGTATTGGTTGACTCTTTTTTTTTTTCTAGCTTTCTCTTTGTTTGCTTTTCCTGTCTTTTATTTTGATAGGTTGTACTTTAGGTCTTTGTGTTTTGTTTTGTCTGGTCGGCCAGTTGGCTATTGGTGTTTGTAATTGCTTTTTTTGGTGATTAATAAAATTGACTTTGTTTTGGCCAAAAAAAAAACCAATAAAGGTAACACCTCTGAAACTATCAATAAAAAAAGAAGAATAACCATATACTGAAACTATCAATGACAATAGAAAAATAAATACGGTTTCGTTATACTGTTTTAAACAACCACTATTATGGTACGAAGGAGAGAATGAACCATAAAGTCAAAAAATAATTGAACAAGAAAACATGAATGTACTTTTTATATATTGTTTTGGACAACCTCTATGAGGATATGAAAGAGAATATCAATCACGAAGTTAACAAATAATTCTAAGCAAAGAAGGGTAGAATGTTCGATTCCCTTCTTTTCACGCCCCAAATCATGATGTTAGCTCTAAATTCTCTTTTACCTCTGTTTCTTAGAATGTCAAATGAAAAGATTCAAATATTACATACGCCGAAAAAGAACTAGCTGTAGTTTCAATCATAACATAGATTTATGGAAGAAAAGTAACACCTTTGAGCTTCATGTTCATATATTGAAACTATCAATGAAAATAGAAGAATAACCATATACTGAAACTGTCAATGACAATAGAAAAATAAATATAGTTTCTTTATACTATCTTAAACAACATCTATTTATGGTACGAAGGAGAAAATGAACCATAAAGTCAACAAATAATTGAACAGTAAAAGGGTAGTATGCTCTGCCCCCAGCTCCTAAAGCCCAACATGAGTATGTTGATGGCACTGAAGTTTCAATATCTGATATTTCTTTAGTCTCTGTTTCTTAAACTTTCTATATCAAAAAAAAAAGAAATAAAAACTCCAACAAGAATTTCCATCGTACCATATAATTGACAGATCTTTGACAAAACTAAAGAAGATCAGTCCATATTTTCATAACAACCAGACAGAGTCTATACTGTTACTAAGGAAACTATAAGGCAGAGAGAAAGTTCAAAAACAGTAATGATGGAAGGAACAGCTGCAGAGGCTAAGAAACACTTGAAACAAACTAGTTTAACTGAAGGAAAATCTCAGGTTGATCTTTTCTTTTGATCATTGGGCACCTGCAATTTCAACTCCTTTAATGCAGAGATCAGCATGGATACGAATTTATATTAAGGAAACAGAGTAAAGTGCCAGATGATCAACACTAACTCATGAAGTTAGGAGGATTCAAAGCTCTACAACACATGAGCCACTCATGAAAGTATCATGAGTGTCCTTTTGGAGACTAACCAGTTTCAGAACCATGAAATCTCTACAAAGATCTAAACCACTATAGCTAGTGAGCATGAATATGGTGATCATGAAACAGAGTCTCAGAGACAGACCTTCGCCACAGCCAAGCTTGACGCTCTTGAATGGAGTCTGAGTACGCAAGAACTCAAGCAAAGTGGTTGATGGGTCAACGCTTGAGAGCTCAAACCTCTCCCCATTCACAGCAAAAACTAAGCTTTCTCTTCTCTCTCCGTTCTCCTTCATATCTCAGATCAAGCCAAAAGCTCAGAAATGAACTGTCTTCACAGAAGATTGTGCCCACTCCACGCAGTTTGGTCATAAAAACGATAAAGCTGTCGGCTTTGGTACAATCATTTACAATTTTCAATTCCTCCCCACGTCTTCATCTCTCTTCCCCACTCTATACTTTTATATATATATATATATATAATGTGTGTGTTTTAAGTAGTCCATTGGTCCACATGATTGGCCAAGCCGCTGTTAAGCAAGGCACGAGTAAAGAACATTTGACGTAGCCCTTTTCTTCCCAGGTCAAGGAAAAACAAACAAAAGATAAAAAAGGCGTAGCCCTTTACTTTGAAAAATGGTGGGAACACAGAAACTGTTTCGAATACACGTGTGCAAGGGTGACCAGAGGAGAACAGCCGAAAGAGAAAAAGAACCCTCTGTCTCCCCCTCTTTCTTCCATCACGGATCTTTGCTGCGTAACATCAATGGGATCGGACTGTGAGGGTGTTTGGATAGAAACCAAACTATAGTTTCAGAAATGTTTTTACGGATTACGAAGTAAATATATGGAGGAGGTTACCTCGTTTTGCAGAAAAGTGATTCTGAAACCTAGGTTTTGATTTTGTCAAACACCCCCTGTGTTACACATTGCTCGATAAATTATTCCGGTTGATTCAAGAAATACATACGACGGTGGCAGAGTAATGATAGCGGGATATTGAAAATGATTACTGTCGCCAATATAAAGGTCGCATGAGAGTTGGGCCTATAGGACTCCCTAATATCCCCTTAATGTTATAACTTTAGATTTTATACAGAGATATTTGGATATCTTAAAGTGATAAATTGATATTCTGGTAAAAAAAAAAAGTGATAAATGATGTGGTTTTATATTTTGTATAATTTTTTTAAAAAAAGTAAATCAAAATTGCATGATATTAAGGTTTTTTTTAAAAAAAATACAATAAATATAAGGCTACACAGCTTCAATTTCATTACAATAAGATATCAAAACATCTTTTTCTATGTAGAATCTAGTAGTTGAAAAAAATAATAATGAAAGGTTAGACATTACATTCCAACTTTTAACCGCTTCAAACAATTTATGACAAACAGTTAAAGTATGTTAGTTTTAGGCTGTGTTTGGGTGACACTCCAAACCATAGTTTGGGGACCCAAACCATAGTTTGGGGAATAAATCACCCAAACACCCCCTAAAAACCAAAATCATGGTTTTGGGTCAAAATCATGGTTTTGAAAAAAGCAAAAAAATTTTGCTTTTAGAGAAAAAAGGGAGAGTGTGAGAGCCTATAGCATATGTATCTTGTTATTTTTTTTATAAACATATTTAATCTTATATTTTATAAATATATATACATATTAATTATTTATTAATTATATTATTTTATGTATTATTAATTATGTTAATAAAAAATATATTATTAACAATTTTATTCTTTCAAATTAAAATATATCATAAAATCTATTTTTTCTGTAATCATCATATTAACTTATGTCTTTTTTTTAGTAATTTGTATATATAAAAAGTGCTTCTGATAACAACTATCCAAACACTCTCATTTCTCAAAATCACTTTTCATAAAATTTATTCTTCCCAAAATCTATTCTCCAGAATCACTTTTCTAAACCACGGTTTGATTTCATCCAAACACACCCTTAGTGAAGTTATATAAAAGGAGAATTGCTGAGGTCCAAAGTAAGGAAAATAGCTATTCCTCTTGTCCTATTTATAAAGCATAAAGAGAAGGTATTTTTTATGTGGATGTACAAGTTAACCATTTATTTATTATTGTGTCGAATTTGTTTATGTGAAGGATAATATGTATTAAAAAGGGATATAATTGAAAAGTCGTTGAATTTTACGTGAGAGTTAATGAAATTTAAGGTTTTCTTTTGTTTGTCTAAAACATATTAAAAAGGACTTATAAAGAGGATCCAAAAAGTATTAAAAATTCTCAATGACAAATGAGAAGTTGTTATTTCCTATTTTGAAATTTATCATTACATATTATTTAATTGTTATTGAAACTTTTTAATAATTATATTCCTTTCTTTGGATTTTATTGTAATTATCCCTTGTATATAAAATTTAAATTACTTTCCAAAAATGCCCTCAATCCCTTCCTTCCCGGTCCTAATTAATCCCTTTCTTTATATTTGCACACTCCACATTAAATTAAGGTATTTTAAAAAAAAATTGATTAATAATTCAGACAAGTTGCAAAAGGCCGAAGTTTCGCATTCGAAGTCCATCTTGACCTAACATAATTTGTTTGTTTGTGTTTTTTTTTTTTTTTGAGTTAGCATGACTAGGCCTAGCCTAAAGTCACAGGACAAAATCAAAATCGTGGACCGATGAACAACGTAACGCAGCAGGCGTGATTAAAGTAAAAGGATGACAAGCGAGTTTTATATTTAAATATTTGGATAATATAATTAAATATCTCAAGAGTAGCTAGCAAGGAGTATTCAGAACCTAAATTTTTTTTTGTTTTTATATATCTTAAAAATTTATTTTCATAGCAAAAATATCATGACCATTATCCATCATTAAATTTGACCATTAAATTATGTTGTTTGACCGGTATTTTTAACGGCCAAATTTAATAATAAATAACAGTTCATGATAAAAATGTTATAAAATAAAAATTTCAAGGTATATATGAGTCAAAAAAAGTCACAGATGTTGAGTACTCATTTGTGGACACTTTTGGAGTATTTAAGCACCTTATTTCTTAAATATTCTCACACATATAATGAGTCATTAGTTATCTTTATTGTTAATTTATTAGTACCTTCCGTTTTTAATATAAGATCTGTTTTTAATATGTTACATGATTTCTCTAAAATATTTATATGTATAATTAGATTATAGATCAATTTATAATAGTGGCAAAATTAGTTTTTTTAAAAAATAAATATGAATACTTTAAGATAATTTATTAATTTTCTTAATTTCTCTAAATAAGTTAATCAGATTATATATTAAGGCAGGAGGAAATATTATATTATAATAAAAGGAGTTAGAGGGACACCTCTTGATTTGCCAGGTTTTTTCATTGAACTGAGTAATAAGAGATGGGGCCAAGAATAACTATGCCATCCGATCATACTCCTTATGATTCTATTTATAAGTTAGAAAAAAAAAATTTATTCCGTCTACGAGCCACATCATTAAATTATTTTATATGCATAATTTTATATTTTATTTATTATTGTGTGTATTTTTTAAAAAAATTATATATTAAATAAAACTAAATTTAAAAAGCTCTTAAATTTATGCTTCAATAAACCTTCAAACAAAGCCCTTGCACTACTACAAAAGATACATATAATGTCAGAGAACAACGACAGTTAAAAAGAAAAATACCGTGAAAAAAAAGTCGATGTCATTTTTGTAAATAAAATCCATGACCGTTAACTTTCCACGATGATTATTTTAAAAGTACTTTACATGATGGTTTTCTTAATAACCGCCATGGAAAGTTCAAAATTTAATCTTATCACATGTTTTGTTTTTCACATTTTCACATTTTCACATACTCATAGTGTGCCGTGATCCCCTCGTGTCCCACCACTGAACTGTAATACCAACATATCCGCACTATTTTCCGCCTTTTTTCTTTCTCCATTTCACTTGTGGTGTTGTTCTGCTGTGTTAGCCGTCTTTCATCACCACTGTTGCATCTTCCTTTGCTTTAATCTTTTCCACTGAGTGAGTTTCCTCTTCTTTCGCCATTTTCATTTTTTTTTGGTGTTCTTGGATGTTTTGATATTAGAAATCTGTTGTATTTCAAATGGGTTGATTGATTTTATATTTTGGATGTCTTGCATTGTTTATTTTGCGTTTAATATATGTTTGAGGGGTTGGTTGGTGACATTTGAAGTTAGAAAACCTCAATTACTTCCTATACACGGTATTAAAAACATGTTTAAATGTTCAAAATTGATTAGTTCCTGAGTTTTTAATTTTTTATAATTTTTTGATATTTATTTTGAATTTTTGTCAATTTTTTTGTAATAAATTTGAAAATTTTCTAATAAATAATCTGTTAAGTGTTTTGGCCAATTTTTTTTTTTCATTACGAACTTTAGCAGTGTTGTTTAAAATTTTATGACAAATGGATATCATTTGTATTTCCATTTTAGATTCAGAAGTTTTAGCTTAAAGAATATTTATTTATTGAATTGGTTTGAGATTGAATTATTTCTTTTGTTTTGTTAGTTATAGTTTTTCAAATTTGTCTCGTATTTGTTTATTATATTGTTAGTTTGTTGATTGATTGATTTGTCATTTTTTTAAAATAATTTGGGATTTATTATATTTAAGGAGAAATTCTGTCAAAATTTTTATAAAATAAAAAAGGCATTCCCTTTAATTTGTGATTAAGTGGAAAGTTAACAGTCACGGATTTCATTTATAAAAATGCCACCAGTTTTTTTTCCACGACATTTTTCTTTTAAACCGTCGTTACTTTCCAATGTTATATGTATTTTTTGTAGTGCGGTCGTACACTCGTGTCTATTGATTTTTTAATGCAGTTCATCAATCCAAGGGTTTATAGATTGGTCAATTTGGATACTAGAAATAATGGCACTTTTAGATAAACTGTAGCAGATATGTAAATTCAAGAAGTCAAGATTGACCAACAATTTTAAGTTCAATGATGGTAGTAAAAGGTTCAACTTTATTAATTGTATCAATTTCACCAAAGAAGGTGTGTACATCAATTCTTTACTTCTCAAAAGTAATAAAGCAATGAGGCCTTCTAAGTTAGATATAAATTTAAGTAAATGGTCAATATTAGTTAAAAAAAAATTCAAGTATTTTAAGAGTGGGCATGTTGTTGAAAAAATTATCTAGGATCCATTTGAGATTATAATTACAATAGAAAAGAAACGTGAAAAGTTTTGAGCGATATAGGAAATGTACCATCTGAAATTTTGTGTATGTTTCTTTTAGTAAGAAAATTTGTAGAAAATTTTCATTTTCCATTCCCTGATAATTTTATCAAATTCATACAAGTTTTTCCTATAATTTTATCAATCTTGTTTGCATAAGTCAATTCTTTACATCTTGAAAGCAATAATGCAACGTTACTCAATACTAGTTAAAAA